TTGATGCCAAGTCATGGCAACCCCATGTATGTCTGAGTAGACAGGTGCTCCACAAAGTTTTCAATACCAATGTTTTGGAAGTATATCTCCAGAGCTTTTTTAAAAGTTGCTGCTGGGTAGGTTCGAACTGTCAACCTTTCAGTTAGCAGCTGAGTGCTTAACCATTATGCCACAGGGCTCCTTCGCAGGCCATACCAGTGTTGAAATGTTGAACTAATTCCACATCTAATGGTAAATAGTCACTGTTCTGAGTCTCTCCTCCCTGCTCCCAGTGCCCCAACCACACTGACCACTCAGCTAAGACTCCCCTTGACCTTCTCCATAAGCCAGTAACCAACCTCCCAGTCCCTGCTCAACAACTGGCCCACATTTGCTCTGATGGGTGCCTCTGCCCTGAAAACCAAAACAACAAACCTGTTGCCATGTAGTTGATTCTGACTCATAGTAACCCCTTATGTTGTAGAGTAGAACTGAGGTCCATAGTGTTTTCCTCTTGGCTGTAATATTTATGGAAGCAGATTGCCAGGTCTTTTTTTTTCATGGTGCCACTGGGTGGATTGGAACCACCAACCTTTAAGTTAATGCTGTTGTTGTTATGTGCCATCGAGTCAGACTGACTCATAGTGACCCCGCCTTGGGTTTCCGAGGGAGTATCACTACGGAAGTAAATTGCCCCATCTTCCTTCCAAGGAGTGGCTGGTGGGTTTGAACCGCCAGCCTTCTGGTAGCAGTCGAGTGCCTTAGGCACTATGCTACCAGAGCTCCTAAGTTAATAGTTGAGCACAAACCATTTGTGCCACCCAGGGACCTTGCCTGTACTTTACCTGAGTGTAAGTACTTCATTAATCACCTCTGTAAATAACTATGCTACAAGGCTGGCGGTTCAAACCCACCAGCCACTCCTCGGAAGGAAGGTAGGGCAATCCTACTTCCGTAGTGATACTGCCTCGGAAACCCAAGGAGGGGTCGCTATGAGTCGGGGCCGACTCGACGGCACATAACAACAACAACAACAACAACATGTAGAGAAAGGTAAGAGCCATCTCTTCGTTTATTAATTCATTGATTCATTCCATCAACACTTACCAAACACCCACTGTGTCCCAGGCACTGAACCAGGCTCTGGAACCTCCAAACCAGTAGAGGTGTCTGCCTTCATGACACTTACATTCTAGTGGGAGGGGGGCAGCCAAGGAGATAAATGAGAAAATAATCACCATATGAATAAATGCATTTTTTTATCAGCATAAGAGAGAGTTCAGAAGGAAAAGAGATTAGCTTTGCTTAGGGAAGTCAGAAATGGCTTCAGAAAGAAGGTTGTACTTGAAGGACACACAGGATTTCTGCAGTCCTTGGTGAAGGGGGAACAGCCTAAGCAAAGGCATTAGGCATGAAACGTGGTATGTCTTTAGGGAGCAGGAGTTCAACTTGGTTGTATGACGGGACACACAGAGGAGGCTCCAAGGAGGTTAGGCAAGAGATACAAATGTGTTGAGCACATCAACCTCTCCTCAGAACTGAAGGTGGACCTGTGTGTTACACAACAGACATGTCAAAACCCTAATTCTCAACCTCATGACCCTTCAGTAAAATGCCCACATGAGCAATCACTAATCTGACTACAGGTCCACAGTATAAGTTGGGCAGTTCATGCACTATACATAATGTCAGCCCAAGGGGGACAAGTAGGGAAGCCCTTGCTTTCCTACCAAGCTGGATACACCACTGTGAGGTTTCCCTAAAATGTTTTCCACTGGAACCATTTTCTGCCAGTAGGGTTACATGGAGAAGCACTTTTCCCCATTTATACAAAAGCCCAACATAAGCTAACAACAGCTCTGCCTGGACATCCCCTTCCCTGATCAGGTGGATTTGTGCCTTTCAAGCAAATTCTCTGGACCACCCCTTGGGCTACACCATCCCATTCCCACCTGCAGAGCCTCACTTGAAAGCCTACACAACCCCCTTACCAAACCTCTCACTTCTTCTAGCCAAGCATCTCCAGCTTTTTACAATGACTTCTTTTCCATTATTCAGACATCCCCTGAATGCCAGCCTCACTCCAAATCCTTACCTCACCTACCTGAACTGACCCCTCCCTCTATCTGAATGTATGGCTCCCACATCTTCCTCTTCCTTGATTTGTTTCATGTTTATGTGTCAACTCAATGGGTGCTTGTTGCCTGCAAGTCTTTGGCATGTGTGAGTGAAGCAGGGACAGCTCAGATTGTAAACTTCCAGAATATAGACGCAAGACCTGTGAATGTGTTGCTTGCTTGGCTTTCATTGAAAGAAACCCATAGCCCTGTTTCTGTTGGCACCTGTTCTTCCTCCTTCAAGAAAATGGGGCAATATTCATGCGTGTAGTCCATTAGTTGAACAGGCATATATTGGTCACTTAGTATTTGCCAAGCATTGGCAATATAATGGTGAATAATGGATGGTCTCTCCTATTGGAAAGAATGATTATTTAATTGAAGAATTTTTTTGTGTTTACTATGTGCCAAGCATTGCACTAGACTCTGGAGTTACAGAAGTTAAACATAATCCCTGTGATGAAAGAATAGACAAGTGAAAGATCATCGCAATACACAGTGGTTCACCCTAAAATGAGGTCTGCTTCAAGTGTGGGAACCCAGAAGGCACACCTGGCCCACTTCACAGCTTCATGAAAAAGACATTAATTCAGTCATCCAGTCATTCAATATTTACTCAGTGCCTACTGTGTACCAGTCACTGTTCTGGGTGCTAAAGAGATGAAGTCCTTCCCATTCTCCATAAAGCCTAAAAGTCCCAGTGTGGGAATAAATAAGTAACTATATACAATTTTAGGGGGGCAGTGATAGTTCAATGGTAGAATTTTCATCTTCGCTGCAGGAGATCTGGGTTTGATTCTTAGCCAATGTGTCTCGTGTATAGCCGCCAACTATCTGTTACTGGAGGCTTGGATGTTGCTGTTATGCTGAACAGGTTTCAGCAGACCTTTAAGACTAAGATGGACTAGGATGAAAAGCCTCAGTCTACTTCCAAAAATCAGCCAATGAAAATCCTATGAACCACCATGGTCTGACCCAAAACTTTGTGTGGGGATGGTTCAGGAGTGGCAGTGGTTCATTCCATTGTACATGAAGCCATCGTCAGTTTGGGGCCAACAGAAGCTAACAACAACATATTATGCTAGATGATGATAAGAAAAATAAAGGGGAGGGGCACAAGGACTATCAGGGTCACAGAGGACAGTGCTTATTTTGTAGACTGCAGTTAGGAAAAGGCTTCATTGAGAAGATGACACTTGAGCTACCTGAAGGAGAGGGAACATGCATGTGTGTTTATATTAAGAGTATTAAAAACTCCATGCATGAGAGAATTGGCAAATTGAGGAACAGCAAGACAACAAAGATGAACCCTTTTACACATATAGTTCTGCGTTGTCAGTGATGGCAAACACTATTACACGGGTGGATAGATGAGTGGACAGGCTGAACGATTAGGTACGTCTATGCAGGGAGGGTGTGCCCATGACCATGTATAGGGTTGGAAGACAATGTTTCTATAAGTATATTTGTATGTTCTGTAAGAATTTCCAGGTATATAGTAGTGCTGACAGAGGACAAGGTTGTAGTCACTTTTGGGGCACAGCCAGCTACCCAGAGGGAGCAAGTAGTTGGACCTGTGGGCTTGGGACCATAGTCCCAGGGGACATGAAGCTCAACTGGTACAACATACTGCACAAAACATTATTCCACATCCTACTTTGGCAAGTAGCAACTGGGAATCTTAAAAGCTTGCAAGCAGCAATCTAGATGCAATGATGGGTCTCTCCTTGTCCAGAGCAAAGAAGAATGAAGAAAACCAAAGACTCATGGAAACAATTAGTCCAAAGGACTGGTACCCCATGTGATCCTCAGCCTATATGACTATGAGAACCGGAGAACTAGATGGTGCCCAGCTAACATTTTCAACCACTGGGTGGGGGGGGGCAGTATCTAAATAGGAGATTCTGGATAGAGTGGGAGAACAATGTGGAACAAAACTCAAAATCATTTTTAAAAAACAAAAAAGGATCAGGTTTGCTGGTCTGATAGAGCCTGGTGGAACCCCTGAACATTTACATTAGGTAGATACAGTCCTTGAAGAGATCAATTATGGGAGAATAGAAGGGCTTTGTATGCACAGGGAGACAGTTCGGGAGGAGGAGCACATGGGAGAAAGGACACAGGGAAGAGGTAACTATGGAGAGGAAGTGGGAAGAGAGCAGTGGCATTGTGGGGAACTGCGGTCAATGTCATGATATAAAGTGTATGTGAACTGCTATATGGAAAATGAACTTGCTCTGTAAACTTTCACCCAAATCACAATAAAAATTAAAAAAAAAAAAAAATTGAGGAACAGCAACCACCACCACTTGGACAGAAAAGGAGGGAGAGAACTAGGAAAAAGTTTGGAGCTGGTGGTTGAAAGGCCTTGATTGCCATGCTAAAACCTTAAATCCCAGCATGTAGGCAAAAGGGAGTTATCAAGGGTCTTTAAATAGATGGGGGATTACCTCATGACCATTAAGGCCATGTTTCTAAACTCTTTAACTTTTTGATTCTAAAACTGTCAACAATTTTCCTCAATATCCTTCCAGGGGTATATTTTCATCATTTATTAAATTTACTGTAAGGCTTTTATGTCATATTTTATCATATTCTATCTTGTTATGTGAGAATCATCTGTGTATGGCTAACTCACTCACTAGTCTGTGGGAAGCAGAGATCAAGAGCCATGAGTAGGCCGTCTGTGCATTGTCAGCACCTAGAACACGTTCTGGCATGTTCAATAGATGATTACTGGATGATGGATGGATGGATGGATGGATGGATGGAAGGAAGGAGAGATGAATGGTTGGAGTTCTGGAAGAGAGCAATGAAAATGAAGCATCCTAGCATTGCTAGACAGAATTGACTAATGAGAGAGTCAAGAATAATAAAAGAACCATAAATGTTGGTTAATTGCAGATGCATACAATCATGGTCCAAGTCCTCTGGGGCTGTTTCCTCCTGTGGAATCTCAACATGGCATCTTCTCAGACCATTTACCCTGGAATCAAGGCAAGGGTGACCCAGCGGGCCCTGGACTATGGTGAGTGGGATGCTCTCAGAAGCCAGGATGCAGCCTACCCAAACCCAGCAGCTCATAACTTGGGGTATCTCGTGGCTCAGATAAATTCTCCTGTGGGGTGATCCAGTCCCCACTGTGGGATGAAGGAACCCTGAGTGGCACAAATGGTTTGCACTTGACTACAAACTAAAGGTTAGCAGCTTGAACCTAACCAGTGCCACCATCCAAGAAAGGCCTGGCCCTCTTCTGTAAGGATTGCAGCCACAAAATCCCTAGGGACCAGCTCTACTTCTGACACATAGGGTTGCCATCAGTGGGAACTGACTCAACAGCAAGAGGTTCTTGTTTTTGTTTTTTACTGTGTGGTGATCCAGTCACTACTATGGAGTGATCTAGTCCCTTTTGTGGAAGACAGGCCAACTGGCTTTTTGTCAACTCTGTCTTTTCCCCAGTTCCTCAGCTGGCACAGAGAATCTAAAATTAAACTATCTTGCACAATTGTTAAGTGAACTATGATGTGTGTAGAAATACATATCAGAAATACATACCTGTTGTCCATCCTCATTATTTGAAAATTCCATATTGCAAATTCACCTACTTGCTAAAATGTGTCATCCCAATATCAACGTTGTTGTTGTTGTTGTTATGTGCCATCGAGTTGTCTCTGACTCGCAGCGACCCCTCCTTGGGTTTCTGAGGCAGTATCTCTATGGAAGTAGATTGCCTAACCTTCCTTCTGACCCAATATCAATAGTTGTAGCTTATTCATGGTCATTTGCAGACATGCGCATATACAGGGAGCAAAAAGTTTGAGTTGCCCGACCCTCACATTCCAAGCTAAGGTCAAACAAGGCCTTCTTGTTTCAGCTCATTCTGTAAACATGTGTTCTTTTCATGGTCTATGTAGTGCCACATTTCTCATATTTTTTGTGTTTTTTGTTGGTGATATTGCTATTTAAAATGCCCCCAGGCATAGTGCTGAAGTGCTGTGGTGCTGTCTACTACTCTTCCTAAACACAGAAAGACAGTGCTGTGCCTCATGGAGAAAACACAGGTGTAAGATAAGCTTGATTCAGGCATGATATAGCGCTAATGGTCATGAATTCAATGTTAATGAATCAATAAAACCAAAGCTAACCTCATTGTCATCGAGTCGATTCCAACTCATAGCGACTGCCATTGGGTTTCCAAGGATGTTAATCTTTACAGAAGCAGGGTAGTAGGTAAATTTGTGTTTCAACTTAGCTGAGCCTGGTTGAGTGGCTGAGCAGCTGGTGGTAGTTATTCCCCATGATGAGACTGGCAATCAGCTCTGTGGTGGGATCTACCATAAGCAGCTGAGTAGCTGCCTTTGGGATGCGATCTGCTCCCTGTATATAAGGAGAAGCCTTGGGAATAGTCTCTAGCTTATGGCATGTGTGGACTCTGCATGTAGCCATGTCATTGTTCACCAGCCTGCCATGCTCTGCTGACCTTGGGACTTACAATGGACTTGAATTAATGACCTGCCATGTGGTTTGGTAACATCAGGACTGTGCCATTTTATTTGTCGACCTTGGGCTTGTCAGCCTCAGCAGCCAGTAGCTGCCTGAGTGAAGAGATGCCTCTAGCTTCAGCGGGCTGGGAGCAAGAGGCAGAGCTGAAGCCCAAGGTTGAGGGGCTTTCACACAGCCCCTAGGGCCTGGCACTTTGAACTCAGACTTAAAGCCTCCAAAACTGTAAGAGAATAAACTCCTATTTGTTAAAGGCTTCCCATTTGTGGTATATTCTTGTCAGAGCGGCACTAGGTAACCAGAACAAGCAGACTGCCTCATCTTTCTTCCACAGAGTTGTTGGTAGGTTCAAACTGCTGACCTTTTGGTTAGCAGCCAAATGCTTTAACCATTACAGCACCAGAGCTCCCCATCTATAGCAGAACAGTTAAAAGAGCAGATCTGAAGTCAGTCCACATGGGTGTGAATCTCAGCTCTGCTCCTTTCCGAGTTACATGACCTTGGGCCAGTCAGTTCTGTCATCTGGAAAATGAGGGTGATGACAACAAGGGTGCCTATCTCTAGTGTTGACGTGAAGATCAAATGAGATAATCTGGCTGAGTGTAGCATGGGATAAAGAAGGCAGGCTTTGCAGTCAGAACCTTTCCTTGAGCATCTGCCATAGCCAGGGTCTGTGAGATGTGTTTTATGGTCCCTGTGTTGACTTAATTCCAGCAACAACCCTATAAAGAGGTGTCGTCAGTTTACAGAGTGGGAACCTGAGTCTCAGAGGGGCTGAACTAAATTTCCCAAGTCACACACCAGTAAAAGATATGAACTCAGGTCTGCTCTGCCTGTTCCCACTGCTTCTGTTCTGTCCTCTCCTCCTGAGTCCTCCAAGCCCTGGATAATGAAGTTCACTAGCTATGGGCTCTTGGGCAAATTAGTGAACCTCTCTGAGCCTCAGCTGCCTCCCAGGTGAACTTGGCTTTCCATGAAGATCAAAAGAATTTGCGTAGAGCGTAGACAATCCCAGCACATAAAGGCACTCGATGATATATTGTTTAATTTAATCAATTATTTATGACCCCATATTTTTCCAGGAAGAGATTTGGCATGGCTATTCTCACTGTTGTTGTTGTTAGCTGCTATGGAGTCGGTCCCACTCACAGCAGCCTCACACACAACAGGATCAGACTGTTGTGATCCCCCCGGTTTGCAGTGGCTGACTTGGAAGTAGATTGTCAGGTCTTTCTTCCTGGTCTGTCTTATTCTGGAAGCTGCACTGAAGCCTGGACAGCATCGTAGCAGGACACAAGCCTCCACTTGACAGACAGGTGGTGGCTGTGCCTGAGGTAACCGAACCCGGGTCTCCTGCTGGAAAGGCGAGAATTCTACCTCTGAACCACCACTGCCCCCTTTCTATTATTAGTAGTAGTACCTGCAAGATATTGATTAAAATAGAGATGATGGTAATAGTACCTACCCAAGTTGTTTGGGGAAATAAATAAATAAATAACAAATAAAGCACTTAGAATAGGGTCTGGCAATAGCAAATGCCCAAAAAATATTGGCTCCTGCAATTTTCACATGTGTGAACAGACCCATCCAGTCACCATTGGTCTCCTGTTACATATGAGGACATAGAGATTATGTAAATTGCAGTCACATAAGCTAGTAAATGACAGCGTTGGGATGCAAACCCATGCTGTTGGATAGTACCTTTGGTTCTGTCTTTACATCCTTTATGGTCTGTATTTACATCCTCGTGTTACAATATTCATGGCACTTTAGAGGATAAAATCTGCTCTTCTTTATCTCCAACAAAGATAGAATAAGTGGAAATAAGCTTAATTGCAAAGAAAAAGGTGAAGGCAGAATTTCAAATCCATACTAATAAAAAGTCAAGGTTAAAAGTAAAAGATCAGTTATAATCACTGTGTAAGTTACTTTCTCAAGCTCTTTATTGTAGAAGAGGGAACTTTATCCCCATGCATTCAGAGAAAGGTGGTCTATGGCACTATTTTTAAAAAGAAAGAAAGAAAGAACCCACTGCCATGAAGTCAATTTTGACTCATAGTGACCCTATAGTAAGACACAGGAGAACTGCCCAGTAGGGTTTCCAAGGCTACAATCTTTACAGAAGAAGTCTGACACATCTTTCACCCATATAACATAAAGCCTGATGGGTTATTCCAGAATTAAATGAAAGCAGTGGTTCTTAACTTTTTGGAATCCTAGAATGCATTTAAAATGTGGATGCTCTCCCTTGAAAAATGACATACACACACACACATAACCCACTCATAGTCATTCATAAGAATTTCACTGAGCTCAGATATTTTCTAGGGCCCAGGGACTTCAGGCCAAAAACTGCTGAGCTAAAAGAATCTGGAAGAAACAGAGAGAGTGGAATAACTTTCTGGCATTTGCCGTAGCACATGGATTCTTGGAGGTAAACTGCCCAGATTGGACTCTGAACTGGCTCCCCCAGTTTTTAGATGTGTGACTTGGGGGAGAACTAATGTCTCTGAGGCTCACTTTCCTCACCTGTAAAATGTGAGTGATGATAATAACTTTGTCCACTGAAAAGAATGTGTCATACTTATCCTACCTATCACACTGTGCTGCGATCAAGTCCTTTAGTGCATGCCACACAGTGAATATTTCTCATATTAGCTCTGTGGTCATCTGTAACACAGAGACAATAATATCCACTTTGCAGAGTTCTTATCTCCTAAGTATCTGAGAGAATGCCTTACTTACTAAGTTGCACTTGTACAGTCCGTGGAAGCAAGACTAGGCAATAAACTTCCGTAAAGATTTACCACCTCAGAAACCCAATGGAGGTCACTATGAGTGGGAATCGACTCAATGGCAGTGAGTTTGGTTTTTTGTATGTGTGTGTATGGTTGATGATATTATATCACTATCGTCTTTGTTATTATCAATAGACACTTTGTTTCCCTCACAGGCATTCAAGCTGGGATGGAGACAATTGAACAAATGATCATGGACAAGAGCATCCCAGATTTAAAAGGTTCTGAATCTCTTGAATTTCTGAAGGTTGATTATGTCAACTACAATTTTTCAAAGTAAGTAAAAGAGGAGAGCATTTTTAGCAGTGAAATTAATCTGTAAAATCTCAAGGTGCTAGATATATCACCATATGATCGGGTGGAATGCCTAGACCTGCAGAGCGCCAGTTAACCTTTGATAAAGGCTTCTCAGCTTGTTGACTGACATGATAAAGAACCCAAGAAAGAAAGGCCATGTCATTGACAGAGTGTGACATTTGGGTCAGAACACGAGTCCAAGTCACATCTTGGCTGCCCACTCATTGTGTGTACCCAGTGTATCCTGCTCTGAGACTCAATGTCTTCATCTGTAAGATGAACATTCTAATTCCACACAGATATCAACTGAGGCCACCTTGCCCCTTGAATTCTAAATGAAGTTCTTATTCATTCCATCCCTTCTTCCTACCCCCATAAACCTGGATACGGAATTCAACCACAGTCTCTAAAAGAAATCTACTCTCATCAAGTCATTTCTAATTTTAGGAATTTAGTCAAGACTTCAGAGGTCATAGGAATGGCTCACAGGGCACCTCACCTCCCGCCCTCCCACCATCTAAACACACACACACACACCCTATCTTTCATTTTCCTTCTTCCTCTTTGCAGCAACAAAAATTGCCTTTCTCAGCATCATGCAAAGCAGTTCCATCCACTCCTGAGCATCAAACTATTTCTCTTTCTGCTCTAAATACTTTTCAACATAATTTTCCAATTGGTAAAGTTCACTTCCTAGAAGAATTTTGTTGGCAGTTATAATCATTTCTACCACGTTATAGTAGGAGCTCAGGTAGCGTAGTGCCTAAGGCACTTGACTGCTAACCAGAAGGCTGGTGGTTCAAACCCACTAGCCACTTCTCAGAAGGAAGGTTGAGCAATCGATTTCCGTGGTGATACCGCCTCAGAAACCCAAGGAGGGGTCACTATGAGTCAGGTCCAACTCGATGGCACATAACAACACAACAACACCATGTTATAGTAATAAAATCAAATGTCAATAATCAAAACCAAATGAAGTAACTGTCAAAGAGTTAATGCTCACTCTGTAAAATTAAAAGCAAAGAGATCTATTGAGGATAATACAATTCACAAATTGGGGAAACGCAGGGCAGAGAGGAATCGACCAAGTGCTCCAAAGCTTGGAGGAAGGAGTGTGCCTTTAAGATCTCTGGTATCATAGTGCCTATGGCATTTGACTGCTAACCAGAAGGTTGGCGGTTCAAGCCCACCAGCCACTCCTCAGAAGGAAGATTGTGCAATCTACCTCTGTAGTGATACTTCCTCGGAAACCTAAGGAGGGGTCACTGTGAGTCTGGTCAGAGTTTAAACACTCTCCTCAGAGCAAAGTTTTAGGAGCTCTGGTAGCATAGTGCCTAAGGCACTTGACTGCTAACCAGATGGCTGGCTGGCGGTTCAAACCCACCAGCCACTCCTCGGAAGGAAGGTTGGGCAATCCTACTTCCGTAGTGATACTGCCTCGGAAACCCAAGGAGGGGTCGCTATGAGTCGGGGCTGACTCGAGGGCATATAACAACAACAACAAGAAGAAGAGACGGAGTGTGCATGACAGTCACATTGTGACCGGGTAAGTACATTATCAGCAACTCTATTTTCCACTACCTTTTTACTGGAGCATCTTGAATAAACTTATTTTCCTACAATCACTTTCATGACTCCCATCTTATTTACTAAGAGTGGCATGGGGCAAGAGCCAGACTGGTTCAACAAGATGATTGATAGGGACCAGGGTTTCCAGTCCCTTCCAGGCAGAGACCCAACACCATACGCATATGAATGGGAAGAAGTCAAGGTTACATTCTCATGAATGAAGAAGCAGGAGCTTATGACAAAATGCAGTTTTGATTCAGACCTTATGTCAGCCATTTTATTATACCAAGTGCCATAATTTTAGAGGTTTCCTAGCACACGCAGCTATTGAGCATTTGAAATGTGATTAACGAAACTGAGGAACTGATTTTCTAATTTATTTCATTTTAATTTTAAACTGACACTCAACTCAGTTATTGAAAAATGTTTAAGTATGTTTGGAACAATTTGGGTGAATTTTCTTTTTCAACTGCAAATTTCATAACATTTCAACACAGGTCAAGTATTTCCAATGAAAATTCATTGAATTAAGATGTATCATGAGTATAAAACACCTAGCAGATTTTGAAGATTTATTTTAGAAAAAAAAATATTTCATTAATAATGTTTGACTATTGCATATTAAAAGGATAATATTTTGGATATATTGGGTTAAATTTAAAATATTAATAAAATTAATATCATTGGCCTTTTTAGTGACTGCTAGAACATTTTTAATTATGTATGTGACTTGTATTATCTTTCTGTTGGACAATTAGAAGGTGATTTATCTAGTATCTTTTTTTTTCAATACGCATGGCCTTTGACTCAAAAATTTCACTTCTTAGCACCTCTCTAGAAAAATATGTGTACAAAAGTGGCATGTATGAGGATGTTCACTGAGGTGCTATTTATAATACAGAAATACTAGGAACAACCTAGATGCCCATCAAGGAAATAATTTTTTTAATGGTACATCCACAGCTTAGAATATTTTGCAGCAGTTATAAAGAATGGATTCAATCTACATGTATCAAAATGAAAATGTTTCCAAGACATAGTAAATGAGTATCTGCTAAGCTCTTCATTAGGGTAGGACTCAGGATGTGCGAAAGGAAGTAGGTAGGAATGAATGCATAAGAGGGAAAATAGCAAATAATCATTTCTTAGCAGCTATCACATTTATGTTAAAAATATTCCTAATCTTGGTTCATAACAATGCTTTTCTCCTGCACAACACTTGTACACACATGATCTCATTTTTTCTTCCCAACCTACCCATGAGTAATACTTTCTCTGAGTGATTGACTGAAAGATGTTAAGTACCTTGCCCAAGGTTGCACAGCTTAATCAAAACTTGGCTCCAGTTGAAGTGACTGCACAATGCGTGAAGTGGCATAGCCTAGTGGTTAAGAGCACAGCCTAGAGATAGACTGAGGAGGGTTCAGATCTGGTTCTACTACTGTACGTGATTTCAGCCAATTTGTTCCTTATCCTCTTATCTTTAACCTGGAGATTGCAAAAACAGCAACTATCTCAAAGGGTTGTTGTGTGGGTTAAAGTGAACTAATGCATATAAAGTGCTTAGCACAGTGCCTGGAAGGTAGCAACACTCAATAGACGTCGATGAAAATAAACTATCATAAAGCATATGGCCATCTATCTATTGTGATTACATGTAGCCCATGGCCTCCTAGTTGCCTGTTCGACAGTCTAGAGAATCCTAGGGGAAGTTAACTGTCTAAAATGAGTTTCTCACCTATGGAGACCCTGCCCACATTCGGAAACAGGAAAGGGGTCAGATTTAATCGTTGTCCCTATGACTGGAAAGTGGCATTGATAGCATTTAGACGGCATTTATGCCACATGTCCTGCAATGTGCATGATAGTCCTTTACGGAAATAGTCGTCCCATTCAAAATACTAATATCATCCCCACTGGAAAACTCTGAAACAGCTAGAGGAAAAAATAATGGTGACAATGTTGTATATTTTTTGTGTGTAAAGCTATAAAGAATTGGATTATTTTATTATTTGCAATTTTTTTTAACACATGTTCATTTCTCCCCTCAATTTGGCACAAGGATCTTCCTGCAAAGTCCTTGAGGGAAATTATAAGGCAGCACACAGAAATGGCACTGCAAACGTCAGGCTCTTTCTTCTATAGACAGATAGGCTGAATGGATGCATGATGAATGGATGAATGGATAGGTAGATGGATAGATGGATGGTTGGATGGATGTATAGGTAGACAGATAGACAGAGAGCTGCCATCCAGTCAACTCTGACTCATGATGACCTTACAGCAGAATGAAATGTTGCTGGGTCCTGCATTGTTCTCATGATCACCAGCATGTTCTAGTCCATCGTTACAGTTAGTGTGTCAATCCACCTCACCAAAGGGCTCCCTCACCCTCACTGGTCCTCTACTTCATCAAACGTGACATCCTCCTCCAGTGATTGATCCCTCCTGATGACATGGCCAAAGTAAGCAAGTCAACCAATGTTCTGTAGTGATCCATAAGGTTGTCACTGGCTAATTTTCAGAAGTAGACAACCAGGCCTTTCTTCCTAGTCTGTCCTAGGTTGGTAACTCTGCTATACACCATAGATGACCCTGCTAGTATTTGAAATACTGGTGATACAGTTTCCAGCATCACAGTAACATGCAAACCACCAAATTCCAACCAACTGACAGATGGGCAGTGGTCCCCCACTATAGGAATTCACAGTGGACCATCAGTTCTACAACTGTGTTTCCAATTTCCCTTCAGAGATGTGCTAGAAAACTCTGTTTCTTGTTTTACAGCATCAAAATTAAGGCCTTTTCATTTCCAAATACTTCATTAACATTTGCGCCTGGAGTGGGAATCAAAGTGCTCACCAATCATGGCACCGCCAATGTCAGCACAGACTGGGAAGTCAAGTCTCCACTTTTGTGAGTATTCCACTGAAGTCTGCTACTATACTGGAAAAATAAGGAGCAAAATGGAAAATGTATAAACTCGCCAACAATTTAGATATTAGGCTTCTTTTCCTTAGTCATTAACACTCCTTCTCAAGACCATTTTTTTTTTTCTAGGAGAGATTTAAACTGGGCTATCATTCAGTGGTTAAGGGATTCTGTTACTAACCAAGAGGTTAGTAACTCACCAGCCCTCCATGGGAGAAAGATGAGGTAGTCTGCTTCCCTAAAGATTAACAGCCTTGAAAACCCTGTTGGGCAGTTCTCTTCTGCCCAATTTGCTACAGAATTGACTCGATGGCAGTAGGTTTTGTTTTTCGGTATATCATTACTCTAAGGTACCCTGGTGGTGCAGTGGTTAAGCCCTCGGCTGCTAACCAGAAGGTTGGCATTTTGAACCCAACAGCTGCTCCACAGAAGAAAAACGTGTCAGTCTGGTTTCATAAAGATTTATAGCCTTGGAAACCCTATGGGGCAATTCTACTCTGTCCTATAGTGTTGCTGTGAGTCAGAGTTGACTCAACAGCAATGGGTTTGTGTTTGGGGATCGTCACCCTAGTGCCTCTGAAAAGCATATTTCCATTTAAGAAAGAACAATTGTTCAAAATGTCATTTAAGATTCTCAGAGAGCTAGAGGTCCTGATGGTCAGAGCAACAGACATGTGCCTCAACATTTTAGACACAGCAATGGATTGCTGAATGGTCTTAAGCACTCATTCAACACACTTCCCTATCTGCATTTTGTTGTTGCTGTTAGTTGCCGTAGAGTTGATTCTAACTCATGGTGACCTCATGTGTGCAGAGTAGAACTGCTCCATAGAGCTTCCAAGGCTGTGACCTTTCTGGAGTAGATCTCCAGCCTACCTCTGGGTGGGTTTGAACTGTCAACCATTCAGCTAGTAGATGAACCTATCACCATTTGCACCACGCAGGGGGTCCTTCCCCCAATAAGCAACATCTGAGAACAAATGTGTGCATTCATTGTTCACAAAGTCATCCACAATGTATTGAGTGCTTAATCTGTGTCAGGCCAGGCACTCAGTCTTGGGAACATGAGGATGAATAGGACACAATCCACTTCCACAAGGATCTCACAGACTATATTTAACTGTCACTTTCCCCATGCAGGAGCCAGGCCCCTCCAGAATAAGGTGCTTCCAACTTTACTTCCAATGTTCTCTACCCAACCAACCACTGTGTATGTACAGAGCTCAATACATGCTCAGCCATAACCAGGGCAAGAACAGTCAGGATGGAACAACCACAGGGTCCCTAAAGCACTCATCATTCACAGATTCATTACGTCATTTATCCAGTAAATATTCATTCAACGCCTGCTCTAAGCCACACCCTGTTGTAGGTGCTGAGAGTCCAGAGGTGGCCATGAAAGTCCCTGACCTCAAGGAACTTAAATTCTGTGGGCAATCAAAGAATCAAGTACCAGCTCCACCCCTCTGCCCAGGCTGGGGTGACCTTGCACTTTTTCCCTGAACAGCCAAGATGCAGGAGGAGCTGATCTGTTTCTCTCCGGAGCCTTCTTCACTGGTATCCTTATCCTGTCTCGAAATGACTTTGGTCACCCAATCCTGAGGCTCCAAGACTGCCAAGCTCAAGTAAGCCACGCCCACGTCTCATTTTCTGGAGAACTCAGGTGAGTGAGAGAACCAGGGCAGGCAGTGGCTAGTCTGGGGCTGGATTCTCAGTCAGTCCCTTGGGGGAGAGTTATGAAAACCTACAGGTTTTGATCTCTGAGTAAGCACCTTTACTTATTTTCTTTTTTCCCTAGTGTCCTGTATAACTCCTTTGCTGAGCCCATGGAGAAACCCATTTTAAAGAACTTAAATGAAATGGTAAGTCTTTAGAGATTAGACAACCACAGTGAAATGCCATCAGCAGTAGTTCTGCCATCCTTTAATCATGTCTTAGTCAATATATATTTATTGAGTGCCTACTGCATTCTAAGCACCATCCTAGGCATTTTCATACACAGTATCCTTTGCAACTCAAGAACAGTTTCTCAAGTGCCTACTGTGTACAAACATTGTGGTAGGTACAAGGGACACAGAGATGAATAAAACAACATCCCTTCCCTCAAGTTGCTCACTCTGGGCTGGGCAAGCAATCAGCAAGACCTTATCTATTGTCTACTTAGAGAAGGCAGGGCTTGAGCTGGGTCTTAAAGCATAGGTAGGGTTTGGGGAAGAAGGAAGGACATTTCCAGCAAACAGAAGCAGTGTACATTAAGATGCCTTCCAAAGCTGTAAGTATCTAATTCTAGAAGTCAGGGAAGATAAAAAGACAGAACTATATATCATCTTTCCACTGCTGCCTATAACTTCCCTGAACCCTTTCCCTGTATTCTGGGGGAGGCAAAGACAGGGATGAGGAGGACTAGAAGGGAGGAGACTTGGTGTTCCTGGAGGGCAAGTATAGATCTGGCTATCTCTGGCTCCTGAGTGCTCAACTCAGTGCATGGCAGAGTAGAGGCTTAATGAAAGCCAGCAAAGAAATCATCATGCACAAACACTAAGCATCTCCTGTTCTAGGAAGTTGCAGAACTGGTAAGGGGACTCTAGACTTTGTGATTTTTCCCATGACAGTCTTTCTTCAGAGGGTCCTGCTAGCATAGTGGTTAAAAGTGCTTAGCTGCTAAGAAAGGTAAGCAGTTTGAACCTACCAGCTGCTCTGCAGGAGGAAGATGTGGCAGCCTGTGTCTGTATTTACAGCCTTAGAAACTCAAGGGAGCAATTCTACTCTGTCCTGTAGGGACACTATGAGTCAAAATCAGCTCAAAGGCAGTGCATTTGGTTGGATTGGTCTTTCTCCTTCCTTACCTGGCAAGTGCCAAGGGCCAGTGAATGGGCATATTAAAGAATGACATTAAAAGAGTGTGCTGTCACCTTCAAGGACCCTACATTCGATCATTCCTCTGTTTGAAATGAGGCATCATTCTTTGGCCTTGGACAGGAAGCCAATGAAGAATAAATTATGTCACAGTCACTCAGCTGATAACTAAATGAATGGTTGGCAGTTTGAACCCACCAAGCTCCAAAGAGAAAGGTCTGGTGATCTATGGGGCAGTTCTACTCTATCACATGGAATTGCTATGAATCACAATTAACTCAACCTAACATATACAACACTCAACCAATAAAATTTGCCTAGAGTCTATATATATGGCTTAGAGATAATAGATGCTTTGCTTCTATAATTCCTTCTGTTCCACCAGAAGATAGAAAAGAAGGCTCAGACCACAGCTGTCTAGGTGCCAGATCAGATTTTAAATTCTAGCCATATACCTCCATGCAACTGCTTAATCTAAGTTTCTGTTTTCCCCCTCTGTAAGTAAGACACAATGGCACATGCCTTTCAAGGTTGTAATAAGGATGAAGTGAGGTTAAAACAACAATAGCTAATGTTTGCTGAATACTTCCTATGAGTTGGGCAGTTCTACATGGACTGCCTCCATTTCCACTCTCAATAATCAGGCAGTTAGAATTATTATCCCCATGTCACAGATGAGGAAACTGAGGATATACAGTACAAGTAACTTGCCAAGGGATTCACCCCTAGGCAGACAGATTATGCTCCTAACCACTGTGCTAAATGCTGAGTACCATGCCTGACACATAGTAGGTACATCAATGTTGACAGTCTTCACCCCTCTATACGAGTTGCCATCAAGTCAGCTCTGACTCAGCAAACCCATATGCATCAGAGTAGAATGGAGTTCCATAGGGATTTCAATAGCTTTTTTGGAAGTACATTGCTAGGCCTTGTTGTCCATGGAGCCACTGGTGGATTCAAACCACCAACCTTTAAGTTAAGAACCAATTGCAAACTGCCTGTGCCACCCAGGCTTCTGATTCACCCTTCTAAAGACATTGCTTAATCTGTTAAAGACTAATTTTCTGATCCCAAAGCATGGAAACTACAAACTGGTTCTTTCACTGCTGATCTATTGGGCTCTCAAACTAGCCCAGGGGAGAAGGAAAGGTACCTGTGCTAAACACACCAGGCTAGGCCTGCAGCCACTGCCAATGGAGGTGAGAGGCAGGTGGCACCCTGGCAATGGGGAAAGGGATAGTCACTGGGCAGCAAGTTCTTCAAGTGTGACAACAGCAGCATGGACATGCCCTGTCATGCCACAAAGAGAAAAGCAAAGAGCTTGCTCTTTTAGGGGGCTAACAGGGTGTAGTCCTGGTTGCCATGGTGATTAGCCAGTATTCAGTGAAGGGCAGCTCATTCACTCATTTGGGAGTAATTTAAAGCCCACAGGCCTCAACCTGTTGAGGGGAAAGGCTTGATGACCACAGGGAGATGTCTCCTAACCAGATGGCCTATGCTCACAGGATCTAGGGCCGTAAATAGGGGTCTCTAGCCCAATATGATAACCTGCTTTCTTCCTTTCTTTCTTTTTAATTCCTTTTGTGCCCAGCTCTGTCCCATGATCACCAACGAAGTTGAAGCATTAAATGGCAATCTCAGCATGCTGGAGGGTGAGTCTTAGAACCATACCTTCTGGATGGTTCTCTTCCCACCTTCAAATGCTAGTGGTCTCCAGGTTTGCTTTTCAATATGCAGCACAGCTCCAGCTCTTCATTGTGCCTTACTCTGCAAACCAGAGCCACATGAGGGTGTCTAGGAAGGCCTGTGTATAGGGCACATGCTCTTCTGCTACTAACCAACTTCCCGTCCAACTTCACCTCCACTGAAGGAGAGGGTAGCTTCAGAGGATTAGATGCCACTTAGGGACCTAAACACTCATGAGCTCCAATCCCAGCTCTGACACAAAACCCATTCTCTTCAGAATGATACATGCCCATCTGACCAGGCTATTCCCCTGCCATAACCCTTTCAGTGGATTCTTGCTGTCTTCATGATCAAGCCCAAAGGCTTTACCATGGACTATAGACTCACCATGCTCTGGCCCATCTCTTGGCTTCATCTTGTACTTTTCCAACAATCAATCTGCTTTTCTTGCCCCCTGTATCTCTTGCCTTTCCTCTCTCCTGGGAGAGCTTCCTCTCCCCTCCACTCATTTATCCATTTCATAGATATTTACTGAGTGCCTATTTCTGTGCCAGGACTGTGCTAAGCTCTGCCCTTCCATTCTCTGTCCCTTACCTTTCTCTTATTTTGTCCACTTTTCTTTACCTTTTAAGACTCAGCTTAGCCATAATCTCTTCTAAGAAATCTTACCTGACAGCCTGCACCCCAAAAAGTCATACCTCCTCTATGTTTGCATGATACATTGGAAATATTTCTCCCTTTGCACTTTCTCTATGCCTTCACCAATGATGTATTGAGCACTTGTAATAAGCAGGGCTCTGTTCTGGATCTGAGGATGCAGCAATAAACTGTAAAGACAAAAATCCCTGTCCTCCAAAATTGGATATCCACTTGTAGAAAAATGAAACAAGACCCATAGCTCATACCATACACAAAAATGAACTCAAATGTAAAACTCAAAAATCAAAGATAGAACAGGGGCAAACCTAGGGGCCCTAATTTATGGCATAAATAGACTATCAATCATAACCCAAAATGCACAAGCAGTAGAAGAGAAACTAGATGACTGGAACCTTTTAAAAATTAAATTCTTATGTGCATCAAAACACTTCTCCAAAAGGGTAAAAAGAGAACATAAAGACTAGGGAAAAATATTTGGCTATGACATATCTGACAAGAGACTAATCTTGAAACTTTACAGAAAACTTCAACACCAAAAGGACAAGCAATCCAACTAAAAAATAGGCAAAGGGTATGGACAGACACTTCATTAAAGAAGACGTGCAGGTGGCCAATAAACACATGAAGATACAAATCAAAACAACAATGAGATATCATCTAACCCCAGAAATAATAGCAAAATTCAGCAAGGTAGATAATACCACATGCTGATGAGGTTGTGGAGAGATAGGAACTCTCATCACTGCTGGTGGGACTGTAAAATGGTACAGCCACTGTGGAAAACAGTATGGTATTTCCTTAAAATATTAGAAACACCATTTGATCCAGCAATTCCATTACTAAGAATATATCTTTAAAAGGGGTAGCTCTGGTGGCATAGTGCTTAAGGCGTTTGCCTGCTAACCAGAAGGCTGGTGGTTCAAACCCACCAGCCACTCCTTGGAAGAAAGGTGGAGCAATCTACTTCCATAGAGATACCACCTCAGAAACCCAAGGAGGGTGACTTCTGGTAAGATGGAGGAATAGGCAAACAAGCGATATAGACCCTCTTCAACAAAGAAAAGAAAAAACAATGGACAGAGATACAGAAGATAACCCTGGATCCTGAGCTTTGGAAGGAACTATGCAGAAGTGGATTAGGCACGAACTAGTGCAAAAACATGAATGAAAACAGTGAGTACAGAGATGGTTGGAGCTGCAGACTGCCAGCTACTCTGATAGGACCAACAGCCTGAATATTTTCAACTGGTGTTGGGACCTGAGAATTGACCTTTTAAAGATCAGCCCTGGTCACCAAGGGCTGCAGGGATGACTGCACTGGTGGCCTATGACTAGGATGGGAATCAGTAAGGAGGGAGACAACCTGAGCTGTTGACTTTCCGCTGTCCGGTGGGTGGAGCCATTTTGATTGTTTACACGCAACAGCCATTTTGGATATTTAAAGTGATCAAGGACACAGTCATTTTGAATGTTTACAAACAGCAGCCATTTTAGATATTAAAAGTGATCAAAGATGCAGCCACTTTGAATGTTTGTAAGCGGTGGCCATTGTGGATATTTAAAGTGACCAATGGTGCAGCCATTTTGAATCTTTACAAGTGACAACTATTTTGGATTTTAAAGTGATAGCATTCTCATTTGGATTCCAGGGACCTAAGAATAGGGTGTATTTGCCAAGGTTGGTAGGGACATACAAGAGGCTGACAACAGGAAAGGAGTCAGGTGGTAAGTGTATAAGTGTTATCAACTAGTGAATAGAGGAGCACAGCACAGTATCCTGCTTGCGTAGATAACATACAAACAAAACAAAGAAAATGAAAATTGTGGGCCAGTCACTCCAACATATAATCACCAATTAAATATAAACATAAAAACATCACAATGCCTTGGAGACAACAGAGCATCACGGTTCACACAAAGAAGCAAGATAAAGCAGGAGAAACAAGGGACCAGGATACAGACCAAAACACATGCCTGAGGAAGACGCAGCATTAGAACTCCCTGACGAGGAATTCAAAAGAATTATATTTAGGTATCTTCAAAGGATTGGGAGATAGATCAAGGAAAACACAGACAAAACCCTAGAAGAATTTTGGAAGAAAATTGTTGTTGTTGTTGTTGTTGTTTGCCGTCGAGTCGGCCCCGACTCATAGCGACCCCTCCTTGGGTTTCCGAGGCAGTATCACTACGGAAGT